CAACACGGAAAGGCGCATAACCAGCCTTCGCAAACTGCGCACTATGCTCGTACTTCGTGGCCAGCGAAACGGCCTCCCCGCCAAACCAGTTACAGATGTAATCGGCGTCGCCATAGATAAGCGCGACGCGGACGGGGCGGGAGAGGATATCTTCTAGATCTTCGAGGAAATTGGGCCAGACGAAGTCGCCTTTTTGTTGGAAGGCGAAGTAGACTTCGTTGTTGGATTGAGTGTAGTTCACGTCGACGCCTAGGGCGTTCATTACACTGTCTTTTGCCAGGTAGTTGGTGTAGTAGCCTTCTGGGGTTGGGTCGTCGTATGGATGGCGGATGTCGTAGACGCCTCGCTCGCCAAAGGAGTAGTAAGGGCCCTCTATGGCTGGTTAGTATTTATCTATATGTGGGTTGGGGTGTACGTACCGACGTTGTCGCGGCACATGTTGGTTGCTTCTGTGCAGATGGCAAAGTCGGCTAGGGAAGTGCGGTTTGTCAGTTTGCAGGATTGGACTTGGTCCTGGCAGCCGTTCGGCATTTCGTTGGCGAATTTCATGTAGTTGTAGACTGTGTCGTTGACCTGTATTCGGGATCAGTTTCTATGTATTAGAAGAATGGTGGCAGGACTCACAGCCTTGATGCCGTAGGTGTTGTTCACGGCAAATTCGGGGTAGTGACGGGCTTGGATGCCTTCGTCGATGATACCGTTTATAATGCCGAGGGTGTTGAATTCAAGTTGGATGCCTTTGTGAGTGCCGTTGGCGATCTTCTCGTTCTCCTTGTAGAAGTGGTCGAAGAACTGCGATTGTTAGATAGAGAAGAGAATGGATAGTTGATTGACTTACTGCAGGGCCATAGTGTCTAGAAGAGGTCAGTCAATGTCTTAAATATTCAAAGTTGAAGGAGATACTCACCCTCCATAACTTTCAGTCCACAGGTTGAAACTCTTCGACTTGATCTTCGAGTCCAGCTTGGGGAGAGCACCCAGGAATCCCTGCAAGACCTCCCAGGTAGCTTTGGCAGCGAGATTGGTTGTATCAATCTTGGTGGCATTAATGACTGGATACCGACCATCAACGCCCGCAAAGTCTGCATCTTCGAATACACCGGTAATAGGGTTAAGTGTACCAGGCGCCTTTTCGGCATATGAGAAGCCTGTGGAGTATCAGCCCGGCATTCGCAGAGAAAAGAAACAAGTTGAAGCATACCAACACCCAGCGGCTGAGATAGGAAAAGCATATTCGAAACCTCATTCCACGAATGAGGGTTAATCTCAGATTCATTGTTCTTGTTAATGCGACAAGGTCCCAATTCCTCAAACAACCCAATCAGAGAATCGCTTCCGGGACCACCATTAAGCCACAAGGTAATCGGTGCATTTTTAGGATCATGGCGCGCCTCGAAGAACCAAAAGAAAGTATGCTCTGTAGGCGAGAGGTCGACATAACCGGCATAGGATTTGACACCGGGAGTCGTCTCACAAACACCCTCCTTGCCAGGCTCCTTGTAGCGAATCGTAACGTTATTGGCTGTTTTAATTGTCTTAACACCGGTAGGCTCCAGGGGTAACTGGCGACGATTAATAGCGTCAAGGATAGCATTGTGCGGCACGGCCGCCACAAGAGGCAGCAACAATGGGATCCAGGGCGAGACACGCATTATTGGGCGATAATCCGTCTATATGGGAATCGCTATACAAGCATTCGCCTGGAGAATACATAGGGACTAAGCGGGGGTACTTATAGCACTCCCAGGGGGTGGGGGAAAGTGATCAATCTGCATTGGAGTAAACAAACTAGATAACCGGCTGTATGCGAGTCGGCCTTCTCGCAATCGGCGCCCAAAATTTCCTCAGATGGTAAGATTGGTGAAGTGTAAACAGGGGGGTCTAACGTTAACGAGCTATCTCCGTTGGAGCCCCGGGGAAGGTAGCATCATACGAGTGGGGATAGTCTCAACTGAGTCGGCAGTGGCTGGCCGAGGCTCGCGGGGCGTTGAGAGTTGCGCTGATTGTCTTTGGGCTTGGGGGCTGGGTGAGGGGAAGATCGACACTAGATGCTGCATGCCAAGAGGTGTAGGCTTCAATGTTTGCATGGTTATTGCCTGCTTGCCAGGCTATGAGAAACAGGAATCCAGAGATGTGAGACAGAAAGTGCGAAGTATGCGATAAGCATGCAATATATTGTGCCTGTGGCGTCGACCCTAACCCTATCCAGCAACACTCACGGCCAGGGGAAAAGTACCATATGTACCCTGTCTGCCATAAAGAATCCGCAAACCCCCACTCGAATCAATATAATAAATAGCACCGGTCTTCTCATGTCCAGTCCAAGCATCCACATGCATAAAAGCATCATCCCAGGGGAACCGATTCCGACTCCCCTGGCAATTATACAAACTGTTAATGACAACTTGATTGGTGATCAGACTGGCACCCCCAAACAACAGCATAGATATCGATACTGGAGCCACCGATTAGGTGTGGTAGCACTGACACTCAAGGCGCCAGGGTTCAGACTGAGAGAGCCTGGGATGAGGATGTAACTCCTAATACCCTCATAACTGATGAATACACGCCACTCGCTGTCCAGGTATACAGTAAGGACAAACGGGGAGTTTGACCGTACCAGGTATCGGTTGATGGGGATGGGTTGGAATGGATGGAATGGACCGAAGAGGGAGTCGTTATCGACGAAAATGTCATTGCCAGAGTAGAGGTTTGCTTGAGCTACAGTGGTTTGGTCGGTGTCGCCTATGTTGAACTTCTTATTGTGGAATAGCTGTGACAACTGGTTGGGTGGAACTGGTCACAATCACTGTGCTAATCGAAGTTGCAGTCACGGTGGTAGTATAAACCGTGACAGGCTGCAGGAATCGCGTGGCTGGATCAACGCAGGGTTGTCTTCGTTCACGGGTAGTGCATTTGCTAGCCCTGCTAGGGCGGCCACTGTGAGTATAAAGAGTCGGACCATGGCAAAAAGCAAAGAGATAGCTCTGTGTCAGGTTAATGAGAGAGCTGAAGGATGAACAATGGTTTAGGCATTGGAGGGAATAGCAAGTATTTATCTTTGAAGTACAAACCTGTTGGAGTCAGTATTCCATGCCTTCTGAATGTGGGATTAGCTGTGCTATCGCGATAGACGAATGAGCCAATACATTCTAATGGATTGAGGTACCAAGATGTGAGATCACTGATGTATAGTTTGAGTCAGAATGGACTCAAGGTTATAATAGGCGAGGTCTGACTTATTCCGATCTGACAAAGCTGCAGGGCAGACATGGCTAGTTGAAGCCAAGCATCAACATTGATATAGTTTGTATTGTAGCTCTGTCAAGCCCCAAAGGCCCAATATGGCATAGGATGATGGTGCCACAAAGTGGTTCCCACATAGGCTAGATTGATAGAATATACACCAGACAATGGCAAGCATGGACTAGCATGGACTAGCATAGATGTCTCCCATCATTACCTATTCAGGCAGTGACAGGGAGTGCCGGATACGCGTCTCGTGCATTAGGCTCGGGAAGACCGAGAACATTCTTTCGGAAGAAAGTGAACTTTGTTTCCACCAAAAGATGCGTATCTGATTCTTGCAACTGAAGGAACTGTGGACCAAGTTGCTCTATTTTGTCCCTGTGAACTATAAGCATGGAGATGATCAACCTTCGGCCCACAGCCGAGAGGATGCCACCGAATTTCCGAGAGGGGCATTCCGCTCTTTATATAAGCGTATCAAGCGAAATCACATAAATCTCATTGTTTGCCCTGACGCTAGTGGAGATGAGTCTATCGCTCGGCGCCACACGCGTTGAGGGGAAGTAAAGGCCGATAATTGGCCTCAGGCAGAAATTGGATACATCTAATTTTGTCAGTTAACTTATCAGATAGCATAACTTATACATAAACACCACAGTAATGGCATTGTCAAATAGTCTCACAGTAGTCGAGAATTAGTCTGCGATGGACTACCAGATATGCCGATCTCGCCATATAGGGATGTCAAGTGCAGGTACGCGGGCTAGAACCGCATATCATTACCTACTGTAACTCCCCAGTCTTTTTTTTTTAGAAACCCGAGAGGCCCAGGAGTACCACGATAAAGTTAAGCATCTCAAAAATGGTCTAGAAGGGAATATCGGCATTTGTCTAACTTATAAGAGGAGGTGGCTACTAGAGTAGGGGTAGCTTATTATTTGTCAATACACCAGGGCCTCCCATTAACTTGTACAGCGACATACTAACCATGTAATAACTTACTTGCAGAAGTTATAGATGTAAGGGCTTAGTAACCTCTGACGTACATGCAAGGCGAACATAACGCCTCTTAACGTGTCTTATTTTATTATTATTTCTGTTTCACGCGGAACAACACATAACCCGTCGAGTCAGTCAAGGTCTCAGACCCAGGGATCGTCCAGCCTTTGGCACGCGGGATCGGCTTCATTTCCACCTTCGCGTGAGGCGATTCTATGATTTGTCGATTTGGCCCAGGTGGGAAATGTGCCAACAAAGACAACCCCTGTCTCCACCGCGTAATCAAAGTCCGACCCGTAAAATCTCAGGGAAAATGAAAGGAAATTGTATGCAAAATTAAACGGGAAAAAGTTAGTAGCTGCCTCTCATGGCATAATCCCCGATATTAGCTGTTCTTTGTTCAAGCCCATAAGATCTGAATGCCCTCTCCCTCGTGTTTCACCCCAGATAGTTCTCGATTTTTATTGTGTCAAAACCGGAGGGGTACGTTGGTTCGGTCCACATGGCTCCAGTGTCTTCTCCTTCACATCTTACAAACCACCGATTTACCCTAACCTTGCATTGCCAGCCATTTTTTTGCTTCATCATGTCCCAAGCCTCTTTAGGCTGGCTCCGATTGTGATATTGTAATTGACCATCCCTACGGATACGAGCATGATATTCGCCTAACGGTGACTTTGCGACTCGAAGTCTAGTTCTTATATCTGCGCCATCCCCGGATATTGTTTATACCTGGAACAGCGCCATCTATCATGGCTTCGCCTGAGATTCCTGTTCCTGCACTCCATGCACCTCATAGTGCAAGCGAAAAGAAGCGTCCAGAGTCATCACTGCCCCCGGTCATCGAGGACGAATCCAGTCCGTATCCATCCCATCCAATTGTCCAGCTTCAAGGCCCATTTGAAGAATCAATTGTGGAGACGACCAACGACTCAGCAAAGGAATGGGTTGTTGAGATTGACGCGCAGACACGACGGCGGGATCTATTGGAAAGCGACGAGTATGAGCGTCTCTGTGGGAGGAAGTGGCGCCAAAGAACCTCGGAAAGGTTGGATGCCAACTGTACTTGACTGAACCGGAGCTAACTCGTATAGATATCATCCATTTTGGAAATTGATCTCCCAAATGGTATTTGGAGTCCATCTCCTAGGCAAGAGACTGGCCAAATCGGACGTTTCAGTCATGAAAATTCTCCAGACCCACGTCGATGAGCTAGACGGCTTTTTGCAAAGGACCACTGAAGACCTTTTGATCATCCGATTAGATGTTCGCACCCGGATTCAGTATCTCAGTCTGCCTCTGGGGAATCTAGAGGTCTTTGATGAAATGCTCCAAGATCGGGGCTTCCGACTATCGGTTGTGGCTTATAATGACCAGATCGAACATTCCATCCACAGATTCACTCTGGCTATTACAGATGCCCTCAAAGATCTCCAAAAAGCAAAGGAGGCGATGGGCGCGCTCTGGTTCTACTTCCGAGAGCTTGCGGACGAGGGCTGTTTTGAGATCGACAGCCTCAACGCCTTCCGTCAGGCCATGATGGACAACATGGAGGGTTGGATTGTTGCTATTTCAAAGCTTCGTCGACGAGGCGCCGCTCTCCAGAAGGCTCTGTGTCAATTGGGTCTCGCAACTACTGAAATGCAACGCCGCGTGGGTGTAGCGAGTAGAAAGGATGTGGTGAGTTGCCAAAATTCTAAGTGTCATCTTCCGTACTGACTGGAACAGCGATCATTCGTGCAACAAACTAAGAAGACCGCAAGACGAAGCAAGTCAGTCAGGCAGAGACTCTTTGAAAAAGAACCGTCCATTCCGGAGAAGCCTCTCCCTCGCGATCCATTATCAAAACCAAAGCGAACAACTTCCAAGAGTCCATCAGCCACACCTCAAGAGCAACCCAAGACTCCCGCAGATCCAACCCACCAAAGCGATGGTCTACGACGCAAGATCATCAGTCGGGCCAAATCATGCAGTGCCATTGTAGGAGAAGCCAGCGCCGGCGCTGGCAACGAACCACCACCTCTTCCATCAACACCTTCAACACCTGGACTACTCAAGCGAAAGCTGTCCAAACCATTCTTACCCAAACGATCCGCCAGTGAAAAGATCAATCTCAACCAAACCCGACCTAAGACAGCACCTTCACAGCCATCAAGGCCATCACGCGCTATTTCAATAGAACAACTACGAGCATTCTGCACAACGCCACGGCCAGGAACCCGACAATCCATGGTCAAATCGCCCACGCAAGCTCGACAAGAGACCCACAATAAGCTCACTAGCAGCCGGGAGAGCATGAAAGACCAACTCTCCCAATTCCTCAAAAGCGACCGCGTGGTCGAAGCCTGGGATAACGTCTCCAAGAACGCGTCATGCTGTGCACGGCCACTCGCAAAGACCAAGGAATGGCCCAGCAGCATCTTCCGCACTAAATCGTCTACTACTTTACAAAACCAAGACCAAAATGACCTCTCCGGGCCGGACCTGGAAAGGCAGATGTCGTGGGTAGAGGAGACGTTCGATGTCCTGCCTACCTACTCATTCAAGCCGAAACCCGACATTTCGCCCCGGATCCACGTCCTGTCAGTGCAGATGACCCTGGAAGAGGAAGCCAATGTGACCGCTGGCCGAGAGGCGAGTTTGGACATGAGGAGTGAGTCTGGTTCGATCACGGCGCTACCGGCTGTGCCGGCTCCGACGGTTTCTAAGCCACCGGTATGTAACTCATGACATTTTAGGTGAATTGATTACTGATATTTGAGATCAATTTGAAGCATCGATCAAGGCTGGTTGATTGTGAGGCTTGAACAGTTTCTTTACCCAAAGTGTAGTACATCACCACTTGAGCCTCGGGACGGGAATTGGGAGGCATATCTTTTATACAACTATAACTATAACTACATAGATTAGAATAACTATTCGCTTCATATGCACAGCCCAGTTTGTCTCTCAGCCCTGCGCCCCCAGCGCAGATCATTGGACAGTGGAATACTGCGCCACGCGCTGCGCGTACAATACTTAGACGCTGACTACGGAGTACTTAGCGCTGTGTTCCCTCGCTATGTTCCCTCTATTTTAGAACAAATTCGCTATAAACTGCTGTTCAATTTCGTGATTTCTATAAAGTACCGGATACTTAATTCGATACCCGAGCTGTGAGACGCGCCAGGTCACAAGTACCTCGGAACCTTTCAACTGCAGCCTAGTGCCAAGGACCCACCGCCCAGCCCCTACGATTACGTCGAACATCCTCAGCCTTGGGACATTTTATTCTCTTGACTCCCTGTTTCTCGTTTCCATCCCCTCCTCATGGCTGTCATTTACCCCCGATACACCTGGTAAGTAGTCAGATACATACTCTGCCAGCATATGCTAACAATCATCCAGCTATGGTGGTTATGATGGCTGTTATTCCACCTGGGACTCCTGGGGTCGCTGGGTAGCATTTGCAGTTATCGTCGGTGTTGCATTCCTTCTCTTCTTTGGTTTCGCGTGAGTCTCACTTGGATACCCCTGGACCATGCGCCATGCGCGAACTCGAGAACTAACCAGGTCCAGATGCTTCAATGCACGTCGCCGCAGAACTCATGGCCAGCGCCCTATAACCGGCACAGGGTGGATGGCTCCTCCCCCGGGACCTCCTCCGCCAAACCAGCCCATCTACCAGCCACCCTACGGTGACCCCTACTATCAACACAATTCGCCTCCACAATACAGCGCGAACCCCCAGAACTACGGCTACTTTGGCGCTCAGAACGGACCACCACAAGAGCATGGAATCGAGATGCAGCCTCCACCACATGCGTACAATGCTGGCCAACAGCCCTACTCGCCCCCTCCTGGCCCGCCCCCAAATGCGAGCAAGGTCTAGATGCTAGACATTGATCCGAAATCTTTAACGGACATGGCTTTGAAACCAGATTTGCATTTCCTCGAGTGCACTGGAACCTAATGTTTTACGGCGTTTTCAACCGGATGGTGCGATGCATGGACTTCTTCTTTGATACGAACGGATACCCGCATGGGTGGATTCTTTTATACTTTTACTTTATTGCTCTCTCAGTTCTGATCCCAGATCAAAAGACAGACAGCTGGGCTCGGGCATGCAACTTGGTCTCTGAAACAATGGGACTAGACTTAAATAGTTCTGTGTTCTCGTACATTGTTCACATCTCTAACTTATCTCTAATGACACATCTTGAACGGCCAGATGGTCCTGAATAAAATACACTAATTAGACCGTTTCTTTCAGAGCAGATTGGCCCTGGATCTGGACGTCAATTATTGCGCAGGGGCATGAGATGATACGCAGTTGCAAGCGCAATAATGGTGCATAGTAAAATCACCTATGAAACACCTACTATCTATTATACTCGGCGCAAATTTCCTCCAAGCGCGAACTACTCGGATTGATATAGTGGATTCATGCCTGGGGCACCCTATCTCCGCCCTATATCGCGTTCCGCCTTACAATTTCCTCCAACAACCTCCCCATGGACATTGACGACATTCTCGCCTCGGTCGATCGCGGCCCAGGCGCCAGCCGAGAGTCAGCAGCGCTGGACCACCAGCTCCTGACGCGCTTCTGGGTCGCCGAACGCGCCGTCTCGGAGGTTCTACCCTGGCCCGCACCACTGATGGAGCGCATGATGGACCGGGTGCGGATGCAGGTAAAGCCCAATCCAGCGCAAGCAATCCAACAAGACCACGACTGACAATCCCCTTAGATCGAAACAATCGAAGATCTCGCCGCCTCATCAGGCGACACAGACCTCCAAAAAACAACCAACACCCATAACCCGAACCTCAACCTCCGCCTCTCAATCCTCCAAACCGACCTCGCGCGCACACAATACATAATCCGCAGTCTGCTGCGCGCACGACTAGCCAAGATAACGAAATATAGCATGCATTATCTCGTCCACCTAGCCTCGCGCAACAAAAACCCCCTCTCCCAAACCCAATCTACAAATATCTCGTCCCAAAACCCCAACCAGCAACCGGAAGACTCGGTCCCTGATATATCCTCGTCAGACGATCTAACGCCGCTTTCAGAGCCAGAGGCTGCATTCTTGCATTCGCATCAGACTCTGTTGGCGGGCCACTATGCGGGGTCTTTTATGGGGGCTTTCCCGCGGCAGTTGAGGCGGTTGGATGATAATGCCGGCGGAACGAGTATGATCCAGGGACCGGAGTTGCGGGAGGTTGTTTTTGTGCGGTGTTTGGGGGTTGAGGTTCCTGTTGTTGTTGGGGGTGAGGAGGATGGCGGTGACTTTGGGGTTACGATGCGCATGGGGGATGTTTGGGTTGTTAGGTGGGAAGGGGTTAAGGCTGCTTGGGGGAAAGGAGAGGTTGAATTGTTGTGATTTGGGGTGATTCTTTTTTGAATAAGGTAGCGGCATTCTTCTTGCACTTGGACTGGCGTTGTCTGTTTTCTGTTTTATGGGTTATATACTCGGGTTGTGGTCTACGGTGCTTAGATCCAAAGGATATCTTATGTTCTTATTTAAATCTCAGTTGGGATGTTACTGAGACCTATGCATGTCTGGAGTGGCCAGGTCCATTTTTATACTTGCAAGTTAATAGCGAAAAACCAAGTACATGATATGATGTTTTGCATGGCCATTGCATTTCACCCTTCCCCTTGGGAGACGCCAGTCGCTAAACCCAGATAAAGACACAAAGAACCCCGGACGCAACCGCCGATATGCTGAGAACTGGACCATAAGATCATGAGAGCATGAAGCAAGTGACCAAAGCCATTGCCAATGAGACCGATTTACGCAATATACCCATATGTGGGCGGCTCCTCAGAGATCCGCTCCAAGTATTCACGATCAATCAGACTCTCAATGCGACGCTTGATCATGTGAACATCCGGGATGAAACGAGAAGACAACTGGGATAGGACCTCGGTCATTAATTGATGATGGATGAGATTCTTGCGTTGCCTAGGAAATGTTAGTGTATACCGTATAGGAGGAACTTAAAAAGCAACATACTTCATGATACGGACGATAGCAGCTTCAATGCTACCGCCGCGCTCCTCGCTCATCTTCTGCTCAGTTTCCTTGCGCTGGTCCGTATTCTCAACCTTGTTAGCACCACCGCTGACGACACCAATACGCACTTTCACGAATGGGCTGTGGAATTCGTGGTTGAAGAAGAAGCGGTCAGTGGGTTGGACATTCTTGCTCATTGGATCCTTTTTCAAGACTCGTGTCTTTGGAGCAACGGCCAGCGATTGCAGGTTTCGAATTAGGTCGTGGTCTGGAATCTGGGTGCGGATTTGGATGTCTTCGTATGTGAGCGGCTCGCCATCTGGTGTGTCGTTGAAAAGCATGAGGATGACCATGGCGTAAGTTGAAACGTTAAGCTCATAGCGCTGGACCTTGCCATTAGGGCGTTTGAAGGTGGCTCGGATGTCACCAGTGCCCATGCTAGCTTGCCATGACAGCTTGCGGCCGTTGTGTTTGCCGAGGTAGAAACGCTCGAAACTGTGCATGAGTGCTGAGATTTCTTTCGGATAGATGCAGGGCAGTTGAATAGTTCCTTCTTTCGAGTTTGCCATGATGTCCATTGGCCACATGTTACTGGTGAGAACGTTGATTTCCAGGTCCACAGGCTTCTGATCGGGATCACCAGTCTTTGAAATGTGGTCCTTATAGTTGGCACTGAGGTCCTCGGATATAGTCATGTCCTTGAACATGGCTTCGATGCGCTGGGTGAACTGATTGCCGACTTCCATCTTCATCTTGGAAATCATCTGTCTCTCTGCATCCATGCTGGCAGCACGCTTCATCAAAAGGCGACGTGACAAATGCTTCTTGTAATATGTTTCGAAGAGATCTTTGTCTTTAATATACCGCAGCAGTGTGATGCCATTGTCCAGGAGAGTATCCACCTCGCTCTCCGTCTTTCCCTTTATGCCCTTCTTCAGGTTCTCGTCAAAGAAAAGGGAAAGGAATTCCGAGCTGCGGCTGTTCATGTTGATGAAGTCTGAGAAGCTGCCCATGATCGAACTCTCAAGACCCTGGTCAGACATAAACGCTTTTTCCCAAACATCGTCGAATTTCCGTTTGAGGGCCAGGATTTCGTCCACCCAGCGAATAGCAGACAGCGTTTGCTGATTCAAGGGCTTCTGCTTTTCTGCTGACTTCTCCTTTTTATCGTTCTTTTCGTCCTTTTTGACAGAAGGGGCTAGCGTTTCGGGAGGGGGAGGCTTTGACGATGTATTAATATCTTTGCCCATTTCCACGATCCTCTTGTTGACCGCGATGGCCAGGGCTTCCTTTTTGCTGTCAACTCTGGCATTTAGCGAGTAAACGTCGCGCAATGCATCGAGCTGATTGTGGTCGAGCATGTGTCGTACACCGGTTCCTTCAAGATTAACGACTTCTGAGATGTTGGTGCGAATCAAGTGTTCATCGAGCAGTTCGAGGATTTTCGGCTGTGTCAAAACTGCCAGGGTATATTGGCATCGCTCCTGCTCTTCGGCAATGCGCTGTATCGCGATTCGGCAGAAAGTGGCAGCATCTCCAATTTCCAACAGTCGGCGCCCTTCGGCCTGATAGAAATCCTTGCTTGTATTCAGGAAGGCTGGTTCGAAAATTGTGAGGTAAAGCTTTGTGCTCTCTTCCTCTGTGATGGTCTCGTAGAGGCCCTCCATCATTTGGATGCAGTGTCGAATTAACGGACGCTCAATGATATGACCAGAGCGTTCTAGTTGGATCATGAACAAAACCGTTGATTCCAGGATGTCAACAACGGTTAGGTCAGACTCGGGGCGGACGGGGGACCGAAGGATATGGTCACGGAAGAGTGCCATGCAGACGACATAAATCGAAGGCTTGGTGTGAGAGGCCAAGATCATGCGGTCCTGCGCAGGAGATCAGACCAATTCCCAAAGTGAACCCCAACTCAAATACTTCTACTTACCATGTACATCAAAACATCCGTAACCATGCCCATGCATAGTTGATGGTCCTCCCAAGCATCCTTGAGGGCGGCCAAGAACTTCTCGCCCGCCTCCCTCCTCTCATTGGACTGGTCCGTCGCATCAGGTGAATTGTGTGTTCGAACGAGAATCGAAGAGATTGAACCTGTAATGAGCTGCTGAACATTGTTCTGCAGCCATTGCTGTTCCAGCTCTTTGACCCGGTCGTGGAGTTCTTCACCCCGCATCATCAAGGCGATCTTGTATGCATGGCGGTAGAGCTCTTCGAAGGCCAGTGTTGAGGCATTTTTCGTATTTATTTCGGTCAATGACGCCGAGAGAACGGACCAGATCGTATCGAAAGATTCAGGCTTCGCTGCTGAGGTACCCTAGAGCGATCTATAGTCAGTGGAGAGCTTCAACTTTGTCCCCACGTTCACTTACCCCCCTTCGCGGAGCTCTGATCTTGTGTCGAGCTCTCATTGCCATTTTCCGGGCTTTCAAAGTAATAAAAAAGAAAAGAGCGACGGATATGAAGCAGTCAAAATTCGAGATGCGCTGGAGAACAACTCTCCGCGGAGGCCGGTGCCGGGGTAACTATTACCCGGGCTTATCCGTAATCCTTATCTGCAACGGCCCGGGATAACCAATCATCCGGGTTTTTTCAGGCATCGTCATCACCGCCTCGAGTCTTTCAATCTTTGTCTGTCTTTGAGCTACCGCACCACGATTTATCTCCGGCTCACTTTCTCACCTCAATATTAGCTTCAATAACTCAGCTGCACCGTCGCAATGCGCCCTTTTACATCGGGCCTTCGCCCATTGAACAATGTTGTGTCGCAAGCTCAATCATATACCTCCATCGCGCGCGCACCCTCATCGCGCTTCCTGTCAACTCAAATCACTCGCCCATGCTCTGCCATTCCTTCTTCACGTCCTCGCCCTCAGCGCATCCTGACCCACACCCAATTCCGAGCCAACTCAAGTGCCGCTCGCCCTCTCACTGCAGCGTCCCCGAGCCAGACAGACACGGACGCCGAGCGCGCAGCACAGAATGAAGAGCGACGTAAGAACGAAGAAGCATACCGCATTACCTTCACTTGCAAACCTTGCGGTAATCGCTCTGAGCACCGCATGTCGAAGCAGGGCTACCACCGGGGAACCGTCTTGATTCAATGCCCTGGGTGCCATTCGCGCCATGTCATGAGTGATCATCTGGGTGTCTTCTTTGATAAAAAGACAACTTTGGAGGATTTGCTCAAAGAGAAGGGTCAGGCTTTGACGCATGGCCATACCGACGGTAACCTGGAGTTCTGGGATGATGGATCTGTGAAGAGCTTCAACTCGGATGGCAACAACCAGATTGAGTCCCCCGAGCAAAAGTCTTGATTGTTTTCCAGTGAGATCGTATTATACATGGGTGCTTAGTACAATTGTTCGGTGCATATAACGGTGTGGGTTTATTTGGTTGTTTGTCCGTTTGGATGAGCTTGTATATTACAGATGAAAGACGTTGACTCTCCACTCACAGCATGGCAGGACCCAAGCATCGATGAGAACATGTTTAGACTTGAGGTTATGTACATTAGAAATAAAATACTCGCCTTGGCATTAAATTCTTTTAATCTGCAACAAATTCTTCAGCTGTAGAGTTAACATTAACTCCTACATGAAGCTAATGAGTAACGTTATAGCCTAATTCCACCTGATCTGTACAGAAGAATCAAATTGTTCTAAGGTATATACAATGCAAGTATAATAAACCAGTCCACCTAACGCCCACTTTTTAGTATGCCAGTAAAACATTCATGAGACATGCAATATACATGTAAATGCCAAATCTTTTACCACCCGCGTCTCTTTCCACGGTGTTCCATGCCCTTCTCACGGCGCTTCTCTCTCTTCCGCTCATTCTTCTTGATCTTTTCGCGTCCGTAACGCTCGGGATCAGCAACAGCATCGATACGACGCTTGACCCGTCGCCCTTCACGACGTTCCTTGATAGCCTCCTGGACCTTAGACATCTGGTCAATGTACTCGGTGGTGCCGAGCTTCTTCTGCAGAAGATCCAAGACCTCGTGGCAGTTGGAGACGAGGGACTTGTATGTGTTCTGGAAGGTCTCATCTGACGAGCGTGGTGCCGGGATAGACGAGTCAGTCAGATGTTGCAAGGGGATGAGGATGACGCGGATGGAAGGCTTAATGTGCTCAGCGTCGATGTGGCGGATGAGCGCGGCGAGGAGGGTGATAGAAGCTGTCTTGGGGGTGAGAGCATTTGCTCTGTTGGACAGCATTTCACGGCGCAGAAGAGATGAGATTTGCTTGAAGATGTAATGGATGGCAGATCTCGGGGATTCAACAATGGTCTCTTCCTTTGTCTCTCCCTCGGCGTCACTACCAGCGGCATCGTCTTCATCCTCGTCCTCGGAT